AAGCTTTTTCCTGAGGATCTATGGGATAAAATTCTACATTTTTATGTTGTTCCTGGAGATGCTGCAACTTTGAATATATTACCATCAAGAGATCCAAAAATTCAACCAATGATATTTAATCAAAAGATCACTTTACTTTTTGCAAGTTGGATTGACAAAAGAATTCCACTATATCACTCAATGAATCAGGTCAAATATAAATTTAAACTTTTATATAGAAGTAGTAGAGATGGTTTAGTTCCAAAAACATTCCATCATAAGTGTTACCATGTCACCAAAACTCTTGTAATTGCAAAAGTACAAACCGCTGATCAAATAATTGGAGGCTTTAATCCTATGAATTGGGGAGGGGATAGATATAAAACTTCAAACAACAGTTTTATATTCAACATAACTAATAAGAATAATGACATTAGCACTACTAAAGTTAGTTATGCTAATGGTAATGGTAAAAATGCAATTCATTGTTATCCTGACTATTTACCTGTTTTTGGTTATGGTTACGATCTTAAATTTAATACAGATAAAAGTATTTCTAGTGCTCCAAGGACTTTTGATAAAATAGATATAGTAAATAAAAGTAAATTTGATGAATTAGAAGTTTTTGAAATAATTGATAAAGATCAAAAAATTCAACCAATGATATCTAATCAAAAAATTCAATCAATGATATTTAATCAAAAAATTCAACCAATATTTAATCAAACAATCACTTTGCTTTTTGCAAGTTGGATTGACAAAAAAAATCCACCATATCACTCAATGTATCAGGTCAAATATAAATTTAAACGTTTATATAGCAGTAATAGAGATGGTTTAGTTGCAGATATATTTCATAGTGAATGTGATCATGTCACCAAAACTCTTGTAATTGCAAAAATACAAAATACTGACCAAATAATTGGAGGCTTTAATCCTATGAATTGGGAAGGAAAATATGAATATAAAAATTCAAACAACAGTTTTATATTCAACATAACTAACAAGAATGACATTAGCACTGCTAAAGTTAGTTATGCTAATGGTAATGGTAAAAATGCAATTTATTGTTACCCTGACTATTTACCTGCTTTTGGCTATGGCTATGATCTTAAATTTAATACAAATGAAAGTGTTTCTAGTTCTCCAATGACTTATGATAAAATAGGTATAGTAAATAATAGTAGATTTGATGAATTAGAAGTTTTTGAAATAATTGATAAAGATCAAAAAATTCAACCAATGATATTTAATCAAAAGATCACTTTGCTTTTTGCAAGTTGGATTGACAAAAAAACTCCACCATATCGCTCAATCAATCAGGTCAAATATAACTTTAAATGTTTATATAGCAGTAGTAGAGATGGTTTAGTTGCAGATACATTTCATAGTGAATGTGATCATGTCACCAGAACTCTTGTAATTGCAAAAATACAAAATACTGATCAAATAATTGGAGGTTTTAATCCTATGAATTGGAGAGGAGAAAATGGATATAAAAATTCAAGCAACAGTTTTATATTCAACATAACTAATAAGAATGGCATTAACACTGCTAAACTTAGTTATGCTAATGGTAATGGAAAAAATGCAATTCATTGTTATCCTGACTATTTACCTGTTTTTGGATATGGTTATGATCTTAAATTTAATACAAATGAAAGTATTTCTAGTTCTCCAATGACTTATGATAAAATAGGTATAATAAATAATAGTAAATTTGATGAATTAGAAGTTTTTGAAATAATTGATAAATATCCAAAAATTCAACCAATATTTAATCAAGAGATCACTTTGCTTTTTGGAAGTTGGATTGACAAAAAAAATCCACCATATCGCTTAATGAACCAGGTTAAATATAAATTTAAACGTTTATATAGCAGTAGTAGAGATGGTTTAGTTGCAGGTATATTTCATAGTGAATGTGATCATATCACCAAAACTCTTGTAATTGCAAAAATACAAAATACTGACCAAATAATTGGAGGCTTTAATCCTATGAATTGGAGAGGAAAATATGAATATAAAAATTCAAACAACAGTTTTATATTCAACATAACTAACAAGAATGACATTAACACTGCCAAAGTTAGTTATGCCAATGGTAATGGAAAAAATGCAATTTATTGTTTTCCTGACTATTTACCTGTTTTTGGATATGGTTATGATCTTAAATTTAATACAGATGAAAGTATTTCTAGTGTTTCATGGACTTATGATCAAATAGATATTGTAAATAAAAGTAGATTTGATGAATTAGAAGTTTTTGAAATAATTGATAATGATGAAAATCATCAAAATCACTACAGTCCTTTTGGAGATTTGCTTAGTGAATAACTTTATATGTATATTTTACTTGGATTTAATAAAAAAATTTACATATACACAGTAGCAGCATAGTGGACATTCGTTTTATCACTTGTGGCAAAATCGATCATTGATCTTTTTTATATTGTGAAACTTGCTATTTCAATTGAATTTAGAATAGAAAAAAGTCACGTGATTGCACACAAAACCCATTTTATGGAAAATCTATTTTTTTATATATCAATATATCTCTGACTTTTCTTTATATTTTGGTAAAACTTGATCAATTTGATCAATTTGATTTCAATAAGTTACCTTAGAAGTAAAAGTTTAAGGCTTCTGTGATCTTGTCCGTCAAAATTGTGTCATTATTATTTATTATTATTATTTATTTTTTTTTTTTTAAATATGAATGATAACATTTTACTTTATTAATAAGTTATTATTATACTTGCAGGTAAAGACTTATTCTATATTCTCATTATTATTATACTTTAAAGAAATAAGTATTTATTATATATATTTGATTAACTTATAACTTATATTCAACTTTTTCCAATAGTACAAAGATCATATAATAGGTTGTATCTTGATTTTTTTATGATGCATTTAAAAAACAAGAAGGATTTTTAAACAACAATAACAGATATACTCAGGGTGTAATTATAAAGTGGTGTATACAATTTAAAAAACATATTTAAAATATATTTTTTTATATTTATATTTATATTTATATTTTATATATACTGTATATATATATTTATATTTATATTTACATATTTACATTTATATTTTTATTTTTATTTTTATTTTTATTTTTATTTTCAAAATTCATGTATTAATATTCATGCCACCAATCTATTTATTTATAGGAAATTTCAGATATATATACAATATTATATAATGGATGATAATTCATGATCAAAGGTAAAATGTTGATTTGATGAAGTCAATGAAAAGTTAAAAGCAAATAATATATTAGACTGTATAATGAAAAACCAAGCCTATGTATTAAAAACATTCAATAAAGAAATACTATATTAATTTTTTTTATTTATTATAAACATTTTATTTTTATCATTCCCTCCGATATTAATATTAATATTAATATTTTGTTTTTCAAATTTGCGTAACGATTTTCAAGCCAATAAAATTTAATTGTTGCGTGATATCTGGAAGGGAGATCGTCACAAAATTTAGCCAATGAAATCAAATGTCCACTATGCTTAGTAAAAGTCATAGAGGATATTTGATTTGTCCTTATATTTGGTTATGGATGATAGTGCACTTCACAAATGATCCTATTTTAAGAGATTGGGACTTCAATTATATTCAAGAAATGCAGCACATGGAAGATACTTCACTCCCCCCAGGATTGCAATATTGGCAACACTTTGAACATTTTGTTGCATGTATTCAAGTTCTCAAGTCTGAAATATTTGATAACAATGAATGGATTACATTAGAAAAACTTTATAATGGTGCAAGACATTCATTTGGTGATACTGGGATTCACAATCAACATTTACAGTTGGAAATGGCAAAGGAATGGATGTATATGAAAAGTAATAGTAAATATAATGGTTCTAATGAATATCAAGAAGCATTTGATTTTTTGGAAAAAGGATGTAATTGTGGTTACTCTTCAAGAATTCCTAAGAAAGAATTTGCAGAATTATGGGAATCCTTTCAAGCTCTTTCTAAGACAGAACAAGATATATTTTTGATGGCCCAACTTAAAGCAATGGATGGTGGGTCAACAAGCACCAGCAGATGCCTTAAAAAGAAAACTAGATCTAATAAAAGAACTTTCTATCATTGGGATCACAATACACTTCTTTGTCAAGAAACTTACCTCAATATGTTAGGAATTGGCAGGACTTATTTTGAAAATATCAGAAATCATCTGATAAACAATGGTCTTCTGCCAAGAATTCATGGCAATATTAAAAGAATACCTCAATGAAAAACTAAAATGATGATTGATAAAATATTACTGAAGTAGTAAAGAATTTTCTAGAAAATTATGCAGAAGTTCATGGATTACCAAGTCCAGGAAGAAATATCAATAGAATAACCCAATCAATTGTATTCTTACCAGCTGAAATGAGTTATAAATCAGTACAAAGAGATTTTCTAGCTGGTCTAGAAGAAGATAGCAAATTGAAATCCTTAAAATATGATGCTTTCAGAAAATTGTGACATCAATGACATCAGAAATTTTTATTTGTTTTAATTCGTCTATTTTTAATATTAACTTTTTTGTGTAACACGTCTATTTTAGGGCTAAACATAGTAAATTTGGTAAACTTGTGCAACTTTGAAGCTCAAATCCTCCATATCAACAAGATGAAATCGTAATTTTCTAGAGGAAGGGTCTTGGCTTCAAATACACGATTTATTTTGGGTGTTGCATTTCTATTTTTGGAGAATTTGAAAATCTACATGACCAATAAAAAGTTGTAGGACTAAGTGACTTGCACTATATTAATGTCAATAGTATTAATAAATTATTGGGACCGACCCCTAAAAGAATTGTTGTTTTGTTTAAATGGGGTATGATTAAAATCAAATAAATAAATATATTTTAAATTTTTTCTTTAATGATAATAATAATAACAATAATAGCTATAAATAAAAAAGTTTATATATATATATAATAATCTATCTTTAATCGAGAAAAAAAAATTCTATTATTATTATTATTATTTCAATTATGGTCTGATTACTAATCTGACATATGGAACCTATACAATGATAAAATCAATATTAATATCAATATATGTATATTAACAAAAATAAAATAATATATATATATTACCTCAACATCTTCTTCATTACGATCATTGACACACATTTCTAGAACAAGTGCTCTGACATGTGGTGGAACTGGTTTCTTGGAAATTGTTTCAATCAATCTTGATATTCTATAATATTTATTTTTGAGCATAAAAATTTTTTAATTTTTATAAAAAATTAATTTAAACTGCAAATATATATATGTTAATTTACCTCATTCTTAGACGTTCTTCTCTTTTTTTTCCCATTAAAAAGAAAGAATATAACATGCTAACACCGCAAGATAACATGGTAACATCAAGCTCATGTTGATTTTTGAAATGATCCAAAAATTCTTGAAGAGTAAGATCTCCATCAACTTCAAACCGATCCCATATGCTCCATTCAACATCATGATACTTTGTTAAAAAAAATTAAATAATTTTTTTTTAATAATTAAATATTTTATATAAATAAATATTTTTTTTATGTACCTTGAATTTCGGCATAGCAATAGGTTCGGAAAATCCGATGAATGGCAATGCCAAATTAACAAAACCATTTTTATAATCTTCAAGTTTATTTTTTCCTGCAATTATCTTGTACAGTTCTAAACAAACCAAACCTGTTATCAAAGAAGTTGTTGTTGCAATTGCCGGAATGATTTTACCAGCTATGAATTTTGTTTTATGACGATCAGCAGGTTGAATACTATAATTTGTTGCTCGCAAATTCGAAGTTGCTGTAATAAAGTCAATATGAAAATTTGAGTCGTCATCTTTCTCGAATTCCACTGGATTCAATCGATATCCCGCTAGTGACGATGGCTGTGGTAAACTTGAAATCAGTTCTTCTAATTCTTGTTCATCAATACTCGCTTGTTGAATTGTCTCATTTTCTTGAACTTGAATCTTTACACCAGCTCTTGGTGTAAATTCAGGTACAATTACATTATTTAAAACACTTTTTATATATTCACGATCAATTTCCCCTATTAAAGGAAGGAAAAAAAATCACTGTTAAAATATTCATTAGCTATGTTTAGTTATAGAAATCCTATATATTTTACCTTTTAAACCATAATTAAATGCGTGTAAATTTGCTGCTGCTATGATAAAGTCCATGTGCATTTCCTAAATAATTAACAAACAAAAATCTATAAATAAATAATATTCTTTGATTTTTTCAAATATAATTTTTAAAAAAAAAAATAATATTACATTATCAGGATCAAATATTAATGGATCGGGTGCTCGTTTTGGACCTGACCAAAAGTTTGTGCCCGATGATGTAAGCTAAAAAATAAATAAAAGATTCAATTGATAATAAATTATTTAAAACAATTTAACTCCAACAAAATAAAATAATAATTATTTCTTACAGAATCTTTTGGAAAATTAAAAAGCAATTGTTGAATATTATTATTAAAATATTCTTCGAACTTCAATCTGCCCCATACAATACAATTATCAAAACTTAATGGCTTAGATGTAACTAAAAAATTTTTAATTATCTCTATAACTTCTTTGGAATTTCCGCCTTGTTTTAAGACAGAATCAATATAATTTTGTTGGCTTAAATATAAATTGACATTTTCTGCCGGAGATTTAAATAATCCCTCGAAAAGATCACGGGCCCATTGAATGGTGTGTTCAATAGCATTAGGGAAATTTTTTAGTGTACAGCTTGGAATAGATTTTTCAGGAGGATCTTGTGATGATGAATAGGATTCTGTTAAGTAAGGAATCACAACTTGCGTGTTGCCTTTTGTACCCAAAGTTCCAGATTCTAATAAAGGTTTTCTGTAATACACACACCTTCTATCCACATATCTTCCTATAAAGATTATAGATTTATTTAGATGAGAGAATATGTTTATATTTATAATTGTATATATAATCTTGTAAATTAAATAAAAAAAAGAATAAATATACGCACGTGCATCAACATTGTCCAGAGCATTTGTAACACCATCTAAATTTTCAAAGAAATCATCATTGAAAACATTTTCTGTCTCGGCACCAACACGGTCTTGATAAACTATAACTTTGTTTCTTGTATGAGGATTCATCTTAGAAATAGCCGCTGCTGCTGTTTCAGATTTTAATTTCTAAAAAATTTAATATTATTAATGTTTTTGTATTAATTAACGCGTGCACATTTATGTATTATTTTATTAACACTTGATCTCTTATCAAACTTGATAAATTTTTTTAAAAGAAAAATAACAATACATACCCCTACATCTCCAGGTCTAAATAAAAATTGCCTATTTAAATTACTTTTTTCAATTGTATCCATATCAGTGATATGAATTACACCTCTATGTCCGGTACCTAAACCCATCATGGCCCAATTTTTTAACATTTCACACCCAATAGCACCCGATCCGACCTAAATCCAAATAAAATCAGTCTGACAATAAATTATTTATCTATATATTGATTTAAAAATTTTAATACTTTACCAAAAATTCTCTAAAATTGGCAATTTTTTCTTGAAATTCATTTCCAAAAACTGCAATTTGACCATCATAACGAGAATCACGCTTTTTTGATAATATGGTAAAAATTTTTTTTGTTAAATAATAATAAAAAAAATTTTTACTATTGATATTAAGAATTAACTTACTGGAGCACAACTCTCTTCATTGAGGACAACACCGTTTGGTAAAGATTCCAAAGAATCATAATACATATATTGAAAAATCGGACAAAATTTACCACTACATGCTTTCAATACTTCCTGAGCTACTAAACCACCAAAAAATGCAACCATTGGAGATAAGTCACCACGAGCTCCGTATGACAATTGTTTTAAAAGTTTTTCATTAATCTCAATCTGTAATAGATAGATATAAATAAATATAAATAAATCATAATATATACTTGTCTATATAATTGAAAGAAAATTATTTACCTTTTCTTCAGATTGCTCATTAATTTCTTTAGATAAGCATATAATTTCTTCTGCATCAGCTTCGTTATGTGGACGCGGAAGACCCTTGTTTTTTTCTGCAAATTCATTTAATGCCTGGAAACCTATATGTAATTGTTCTGGCCGATCCCATTTTCCAAAATCAGAAATAAGGAACTCGGGAGTTTTCAAAGATTCACGTAAAGATTTCTATATATATATATATATATGTATGTATATATGTTAATTATTTCTCACACCTTTAAAAAATTAAGATGATTATGATAATAATTTAATGATCTTACAAAGTGGATTGTTTTAGGCATTTTAACTTGAGTAAAAAGACCTCCACTTATATAGTTTCCAAAACTTGAAGTGTCCCCAATACTAAATGTATACGGACCTTTTTTCAAATGAAATAATAATTTTAATATATAAATATATAAATGTATACATATATTTTTATTTTTATTTTTTTGAAAAAAAAAATTGATCTATAATTACCAAGAACTTTTATTTTTCTTGGTTCACAATTATTTAATTCTTCCATCCCTTTTATTTCTGTAAAAGTTACATAATCACCATCCTCTAAACCATGACGTGATTCATCAAGGCATGCTACAACACTATCTGATTCTTTGGAGACTGCAGCAATCATTCCGCCAAGTGGATCTTCACCGGTAGAGTCATTGATAACAAATTCATTACCAAAATCATTAAATACAACACTATTGAATATAAATATATTTATTTATTAATAAATTATTTAATCAAATCTGTCATTAATGATATTATTTACCCAAAAAGACCACGGATATCAGTTGATATGAAACATATTCCATTTGCATGAGTAAAATCATTAATCTCCAATTGTTTTTTCAAAGGAGTTTCTGTTAATACAACGACCTACATAATAAAAAAAATTAATAACAATTACTAAATTTCCAAACCAAATATCAAAAAGAAAAAAAATATTAAAAAAACATACTTGAAAATTTTTTATCTTATCATTTGTCAATTCACCATCAAGAACAGATACAGGCACATAATGATTAAGTTCAGCTAACCTTGAGGCGGACACAATAGCTCTTGGTTTTCCAATGTCTTCCTCTCTTAGGAAAAACTAAAGAAAAGAATAACGATGATCATTTAATCAATTAAATAATAAACCCACATATCAAATTAATGCCATTCATTAAATCCATTTGTTCTAACCTGTGTTGATAAATCTGAAAGTTTTACTGGTTCAGGATCGTAAAGAGTTACACTTTTGACACCAGCAAGAACAACATTCTTGGCTATTTATTTCCATAGCAATGTTAATTAAAAAATATTAAATTTTTTTAGTTTATAAATTATTTTCATCATATTCATTGTTATCATTATTATTATTTATAATCATCATCATCATCATTATTATTATTATTATTAATTACCAATTTCAACACCAAGACCTTTTAAGCCTACAATAAGAATGTTTGAGGTACCCATTTTTTTCATGGCATCATGACCAAGCACATAACTACAATAAATGATAGATCAAAAAATTTAAGTCAGACATTAAAAAATTTATATTAATCAAATTTTTTTAAAATCAAAAAAAACGAGAAAAATTAAATACAGTTGTCGAGAGTAAAGTCCCTCGTCAATCTCGTCAATAGTTGATTCCGGTTTTTCAATCTCCATATCTTCACTTTTTTATTGTTTATTCGTATTTTTGAAATTATAAACTTGACAAAAATAAAATTTTATTTGTATATATAGAGAAAGAGATGATAAAATATAGAATAACGGATAAATTTGTAATGATGATTTGATAAATGTCAAACTTGCTGCGGACAAAGATTAATTGATAGTTGTACAAAAACGCAATTCAAAAAATAAAAATGGCAAAATGAAAATGAAACTCAAAATTCCCTTTCAAAAAATGCAACAAATAAACAAAATACATATCTATCTGTTCTACATATACTATTTGTTGTACCTATTCTTCGTGGAAGTTATATATAAAATTTTCTTTTTACTCTAAATAAAAATGTGGGAACTTTCTGTAATTTTAGAATATAATTAATAATTTACTTTTAATTAAGGAACATGAAAAAGAGCAGGAAAATATAGCCTGTTTATTTGGCAATTTTTGTTTGCTAAAGGTGGCTGTGTTATAATTTTCATCTTCTTGTCATCCACCTTCAATAGATGATTATAAATAAATAAAATATATGTTTCTATCGATATTATTATTATATAATGTTATTTATGACTAAACTAATACTAATATCATAGTTAAGGGGTCCTTAAGCTCGAAACATTACTAATGTTCCTAATCCTTGACATAATTATATTCATTATTACCTGTTTGTCATTTAGTTTTAATATTATATACAATAATAATTTTTTTTTTGGTGAAAATTATGTATTTTTATTTAAAATATTTGAAAAAATAAAATATCACAAATTTTTTTTACAAAAATATTCAATATATTTGAAAAATTAAACCCGAAAAAAAAATGTCGTGTGCGAAATCAGGTCTATTCATGCCAATTCGTTTATGATCCATGCATCTCCAACCGGTATCGAGTTAGGATTGCTCGCATTACGAAAAATTGAAATGTTTTGGCTTGCAATTTGATTTGTGCACGATAAAGTTTGCTAACATCTCTACGTTAACTATAAGGAACATTAATAGGAAATTGGTTCATTATCTGGTTATATGCCAATTGGCCGTTTCTACTAATCCAAGTATGATTCGGCGTAATGACTTCACTACCATCACCAATGGTTAATTTTTCATATTGGATGTATCTTGCACATGCGGAAAAGGTTTTTTGTAGTTCTTTAATTGTAGGAAACTCGAAGAGGGCATCTGATATATATGCGTGTGTATATATTGTTAATTAGTTTAGAGAAAGAAAAAATGCTCCTTGTAATTTTTGGATTTTTTTATAAACCTTTAAACCTTCTTTATAATAATTTATATGCATATTTTAAAAAAATGATAGACCATTACCATGATTTTTTTATCCAAAGTACGTCGAAGCTCAAGTACCCAAGTATACAACCAGGGAAATTAATAAGATGATACCGGATATTGGAAGGCACTAAATGGCAGCAAAAGAAGAGGCTTTGATTCTTTGCACAATCTAAGCACTATTTTAATTATACCATAAATTTCCCAATAATTGAGATGGTCGAGTCTTCCAAAAAGGTAAATATTAAGTTTATTATTATAGATATCATTGTAATTAGTATTGGGAAAAATTGCTAATTATAAGAATTGCGAATGAGAAAACATAATATTTTTTTGAAGTTGAAGTAGATGGTTGTTGGATAGTCTGTCAAATTAATTTTGGAGTCAAATTTATTAACGAAAGAATGTAACTTCAATTAATATTAAACCAATACCATTTTGGGAAATTATCGATTAGTAAGATTTTGCTGCGAGTTCGTAATTATCACAACAAGTATTAATATTTGTTTCCGAATATATCATAATTACATTCAATTTTTCAATCAATACAAAGTATATTTTCTTTTACAACGTTGTTAGTTTTGTAACCCGTAGCCTCTAATCTTTTATACTCTTCTAAAACAACCCTAGAAATCTTTAATTGAGAATAATCAAAATCAAGGATCTGCAATTTTCTTAATGAGGGAGCTCGACTCATTGCAATATACACTTACTTTACTTGCCCTTCAGAAAACATACTTTCGTCAACGTTCAATGTTACGTGTGCCAGGGTCAATCCTTGAGTTTATGAACAGTCAGAACAAATGCATTCTGAAGAGGAAATTGTTTTCTCGATGCCCCCTCCCCTTACCATACACAAATTTCAAAATAGGATCTCGCCGATCGTTCCCATTTTATTATTACGATTTTTTATATAAACCACATTTCTTTTTTTTACATTTTCGAATGAGTTTTTAGCATGGTAAAGTATTTTCGAAAGAGGCATGGTTGATTTTAATTCCTAATTGTTACGTTTTTTAGTATCAATGTCGTGGAAAGTATTTTCCCGTTTTCAAAAAAAAACATGGTTGCTTAATATTAATAGTAATTTCGAATCGTTACTTTTTTTAGTGGCGGGAAAGTATTTCAAAAAAAGGCATGGTTTAAATATTAACAATAAGGAAATTATGCATCTTCTTTACATTACAAAAAAAGCTTGGTTAATTCTTTGACAATAATGAATTAATTCCGAATCGTCTAGTGATGGAATTTAATTAAATGATAATATTATAAATACAACCTTGAACGTTTTAAAAAATTTGGGGAGCGTTTAATGATCACGATCGTGATCAGGATAAAGATAATAACTGATAATGATCAAAAGTTTATTTTTTATACTAATACAGTTTTTTCCCTTTTCTTTCGAAAATTTCCAGAGACACAGTCCTATTTGATAAAATTTGAAATTTAAATTGTAATTATTATCTTTTTGTCTTGTATATTTTAATTATTTATTACATGATAATGAAGTTGAAATTGACGGTGATATAATGGAGATTGATGATTAAAGTCAAAATAGTGAAAATAATTATTATGATGAAAGCGAAGCAAGTGAACATGATTTAAGTAATGCGAATTAAGAAAAGAACCTTCCAATTCATTTGAAATTATGAATACATTCTCTATGTCCAATAATAGATCATTAGTTTATACTGGAAATGTAAAATCCACTTTACATAATAAAAGACATGCAAATAAAATTGCTGCCATCAGATCACAAAAAATTAATAATCATTTTTACATCCCAAGTTTCAAATGATGCCTCTTCTTCATTAAATAATTCTAGTAATGTATGTATCTTCTACTTTAGAAAGTTCTGGTAAGATGGATAATTTGACCTTGATGATGAAAGTTCTGATGAAGATAGTAACAGCAATTTTTCTTTATCTACGTTAGAAAATCAGTTAAAAAATAACAAAACATAGACTCAATATTTAAGACTTGATGGTTTTAAAATATAAGGAAATAGATACTAGCAATATTGTTACCCAATCTTTAAATGAAAGGTATTTGGGCTGCAAGATTAATTAGATCATACAGTAAAAATTTGGTGAATTGAATGCTTCTTAAAGATTAGTAATTTAGTTTCATTGCTGAATTTATTATTTATTTTAGGAAGTTATTGATAACCAATTAACTAATTTATGTTATGCGCCCACCTGAATTTCAATTCGCCGATACATTCTTTCAAATCCACAAAGATGGATGCAAAGGGCCATTGGCATTTTTAGTTAATGTCGCATCGATATGTAATATGTCTTGAAAGATATTATTAATAAAAGGTATGGCTCTCAGCAGTGTAGCTTTATAAAAGACAAATCCGTATTTGATTTTTTACTATCTAGATCACAAATATAAAAAATCTCTTGTAATTAAAGCAAAAATTACAATTCGTCACAATCAATTGAATAGGAGGGAGTTCAGTAAAATCACTCGTAAAAGCAATAATTTTGATATATTGCATTCCTATGTTTTATTTAGCTATTTGATAATTGAATATTTTATTCGTTACACAATATATAATACAAATTTTCATAAAATAAAATATATACAATTGACAAAAAAAAAAAATAAAGAAAAAACATAACTCCTTTTCTCAAAGACCTCCTTTCAATCTTGCAACGAGATGAATATTTGACTCGTGTACAATACCATAAGATGTCAGTGTTCTATTGTCTTCTAACTGCTTGCCTTGATATATAAATCTCTGGTATTCTACAGGAAGCGACTTTCTTTCAGTATACAAATTTTTCAATTCAAGTACGGTACTGGATGGTTTGAGGATGATAGCAGTTGATTTTTGGTTATCAGTCGGATTAATATCCATAATGAAAACTTGTATACTACCTTCAGCCTTTCGAACAAGTCTGACCTTTTCTTCTAAACCAATGTTACAGTTTTTTACTGTATGGTCATCTTCAAGCTGTTTATCACCAAGATATAATTCTTGGTTCTCGATTTTAATATCGTATGATTTTTCTATTTTTTGTTTCACTTGATAAATGGTATCATCGGAAGAAATATCAAATGGCACTTTAACTGTCTGATCAAGATAAAGAATAATCGTGAATTTTGACATTTGTTTTAAATAATAAAGATTTTATTGAAGGAATATTGTTTTACGTGCTTTGGGAGAAGTGGAAAAAATAGAATTTTCCTTTCCCATATATATTAATCATTAATATATTTGGTTTTAAACCTTGAAAATCTGGAAATTCCATTTCGTGATCATAAATAAACAAAACAAGTTTCTAACCAAAATGACGCAAGTCCAGAGATCGTGTGAAATTTTTAATGTTAATATCAAAAGGTTGGCGGATTTCATAATTTCGGTCATTTTCCAAACCTTAAATTACCACTTTTCGTTTAAAATATTGTGTTATTCAATATTTCTCGCTCGAACAATTTCTTTGGTATCAAACAAAATTTTGATCAAGTATGTCGGAATTGGACGAATGTGCGATTTGTTGCGAAACAGAAGATAGAAGGTATCATGCAACAACTTCACAATGCACACATAAAGTCGTTATTTGTGTGGAATGTGTTAATAAACACATTAAGATCCTTCTCAACGAAAAACAACTCCTCAAAATTCCCTGTCCCACGAAAGGATGTAACAAAATAATGGAAAGACATGACATTAAAAAGATCGCAACAGAAGAAATCTTTGAAGAGTACAATAACCGTTTTTTAAAATAACTTTTCTTTATATCGAGAAGGATCATTATATTTTTTATTTATTAACGCATTGATTTCTTTTTGGTTCAGATATGATTTGCTTGCTTACAAAATTACGATTCAAAGGATCCCGGACTTCAGGTGGTGCAAAGTTCCTTGTGGAGCTGGACAAATTCATATAGGAAAAGGTATTATTACAACATTAAAGAGACTTTCATTTCGAGGTTACGTTCTCACCTTCCGATATTTTATAGATAAAACTCCAGTTGTCATCTGTGAAGGTTGTGGTGGGAAATCATGTTATACTCACGAAGTTGCCTGGCATATGGGCCAAACTTGTAAAGACTACGAAAGCAATAAGAAAGAAGCAGACTTTGCTACTACAGATTATATTTTACGAGAAACGAAGGGATGTCCTGGATGTTCTATACCTATCGAAAAAAATAAAGGATGTGACCATATGACTTGTCGTAAATGTTCTCATGAATTTTGTTGGTTGTAAGTATTTACTGCATTTATTTAATTTATTTATCAAAAAATGATTATATTTAAAAAATGAATTAAATGTAATATTATTTTTTTCTTTATTAGATGTTTATACAAACATCCTAGCCATCAGCCTACTTGTAGTCATTATAGGAGCAGACAAATTTTTTTAGAGGAATGAATGACATAAATATATATTAATGATATTAGATTTTTATAATAACAGTATATATTTGGATTTTTTTGATATGTGATATGCCAAAATCTGGGCAAAGAAATATTTAAGATGGTGTGGGTGATATGCTTGAGTGACTAGAGACATTTAAATTTACCTATTATTTTATAAATACAAAAATGTAATAATTTTTATCATTGAATTTTTAAAAAATCGGGAACGCGTCCCAAATAGATTTGTGCAATCATTACCATTTGTTCCAACCAATCAAATCCAAACCCAATAAAGAAAATGATTAACTGTTCTACAAAAAAAGAAATTTCTGAACCATCCAATCCAAATTTTATAAATTTTCTCTATAATGAAATTTGTTGATGCTTGTTAATAAATTCGGTATACGTGTAAACTAAACCTCGCTATAACGAAAACAAATGTCCTAGATAAATGTTTCGTCATATAGAGGTTTTTAGTTAATTATTAAATAACATTAAGCACGATTCAAATTTTATCTCAACAATTTAATGTTAAAGTCAATGCCTTCGAATAAAATAAATAAACAAATGGATATTTATAAATAGAATCGTGGTCTTGGTCTTATCGCTCTTTATTTTT